TGTTGCTGCCATATCCTTTTTTGTTCAAATTGTTGCGTCAATGGAATAGTCATGTTGCCTTTTTTTCTATTCTTCTCACTTAAATTCATCTCTATTGTGTTGTCAGCTTCTAACCGAACAATGTCTTTCACAATTTTTAAGTCAGTGCCACAATAGTTGGCAAAGAATTTATTCAATGAATTTGGAAATGTATAATGACTGACAAAATTTTTGAACAATTGAATACACTCCCTCGTGATCGACTGGGTGGATTTAAAGAATTATTCTTTTGTGTAGGAACTAGGGGTTACCATATTCGAGAAGGACTGGTGATCATTCAGATTCCCGCTAGTAAACGCGTGTGTCCAACACTTATATACTATCATTCAGAGAGGCTAATATTAGAATATAACAAAATTTAATATCAAATATGGTCACGGCTTGTCTTGGAGGACTGAAGCTTGTTTCCGTGCAACAACTTTCAATGGAGATACTATATAAAACTTGGCTGACTTTGGACGAGCCTCCCGATTGCCAAAATGAACACTGGTCAACTCAAAATAGCAACTACATCCTCGTAACGGATATTATTAGTCTGAACAAGAAGTTATGAGGATAAATCCTTGTAATTGCTACCTTGTTGAATGACACTTGTAACAACAACGTATCTGTGACCTATTTTCAGATTTCGTAACTGAATGAGCTTTGTGCACAGGATGTCCATTGAAAAATACTCTATTTCTTTTCTAGAGATTACTTGGTACATAAGTATTTTCTTTGGAATGATAGATATACTGGAACCCTTTTTTCTGCAGTATAGGAATCGCCTTGAAACAAAAATACCAAGTAATCTTGTTAACTTCAAGCTGGTAGGATGATGAATATGTTTTGGAAAGTTCAGATCAAAGGAAAGCAACTGTTGTGTCGGGACAGAAGTTATGAGGTAGAAATAGAAAACTCAAAACTGTGAAGTTGTTTTCATCATATGAAGTTAACAAGTTGTTGCAAAACAATTGTCGCCTGAATGATTGCATACGGAAAGTTATCATCGAGCTGCGAAGCTCGATTCGAGGTGGAACCACTATCGTTCTGTTTGACTTTCGGATGTAGCGGAAATGAAGTCTCAACAGATGTGTTCATCATAAGAATAATTATTATAGTTAGAATGGTTTATTA